CTATACAATCAAGCCAAGGGTATTAGTAGTAAACTCAACTACTAACTAAAAGCTTAAAAACCAAGCAAAGCCTTTTAAGTTAAATATTAGGGAGCGGTTATTGACTGGATTAGTTGAGGGAGGAGCAATGGAGGTGGCGAGGGCAGGAGCTGAGATGGTCGTTGGTGAGGCCGGCGGTCTGCATGAAGGAGTGGATGACGGTGGGGCCCACGAACCGGAATCCTCGCCGGACCATGTCCTTGCTTATGGTCTCGGACTTTGAGGTCTTCACCGGGATTTTTCGGCATGATTTGTAGTTTGTCGTGATGGGCTTGTTGTTAACAAATGCCCACAAGTACTTGCTTAGTGACCCAAATTGCTCCCTAACCTGCATCACAAAGTTAACTTTGAGTCAAATTTCAAGAACACAAGTTGGATATATTCTTATTCCTTATTCCTGTTTACACAATAGTTTGATTGATTCCTTTCTTAATTGAAGGGTATCCTATTGGAAAGTGATTTTATGTCAGTTTTTCTAATGGAACAGTTAGGCTTATTTAAACATTGTGGATTCAAAAAGGGGAAAAGATAATAAAGAATAGGTTTGTTCAACAGCTAAGATAACTACCAAATCAGAAAAAAAAAGTATGATTTATATATCAATTTTTGTCTAGAAAAGGGGGGAAATGCCATGTTGGTTATGAAATAATACCTCTCGGATTCTGTTGGAGTTGTCTACTACTCCTCGAACCCTGCTCAAATCCAGCCCATATTGTGAGCTGATTGATGTAATTTGCCTCTCTGTGAACTTGGCGACCACTTCAGCATCAAATCCAGCAAAAGCTGATCTGGAAATAGAAAAAACACAGAAACAAACAATTTAGTATTCTTCTTACCAAAACTAGGCTAACTTCCCAATTTAGCAGGGAAAAAAAATGAATCATAATTATAACTATTATATACCTGAAATCATTCCTTTTCTTTAGTATAGTTGTCCAATCTAAGCCAACCTGGGCCCCTGAGAGCACTAGTAACTCAAACAACATCCTGCAGTAAAATCATTGGCTGGTTAGAGAGAGAATTATAGCAGAAGAGAGAGAGCGAGAGAGAGAGCGCTAGAGAGAGATACTCACTTGTCATCATGAACAGGAACTCCCCATTCCTCATCATGGTATGCAATATACAAAGGATCTATGAGAAAAGAGAGGATCAGAAGCATGAAAAATTACATAAGCAATCCAAATATTGATAAAACTTGAATTAATCAATTTATACCTGAATTTGCTGTAATAAAGCTGCACCTCTTCTCCTCTTGACTATTAACATTTGAGTTATCGATCACCGGAGCAACCTTTTCGAGCTTTTCTGGTGTTCTTCCATAGTGAGCAATCTTCATCTTGCGCTGCGCTTGCATAAGCGAAGCCTGCTCCCTTTGAGCAGCCGCAATACTCCCAGGAGCTCTATCGGCCATCAACAACTCATAAGAATTAGAAACGCCTTTGAAGCTCAACGACGTCTCAAGCGTCTTAGTCTTTTTTCTAACAACTGGAAGCTTTGCAGTCAGTCTCGGTGTAATGGGCTTCTCGCTGCTTGTGTTTGGGCTGTAAGGATCGTTTCTCTTGATGGGCTTGGGCTTAGGAGAGATTGGCGGAGTCGCCACCTTCTTCTTCGGTGAACTCTTCGCGGAAGCGTCGAAAGCGTTTGTAGTTTTAGTAATACTAATGGCCATTGGAGAAGATAAGGATCTTTGAAGAGATTTCTTGATGGGCTTGTTGTTGGGCTGGCACAACGTTGTGACGCGGTTGCAGGCGGGCTGAAGGACTGGCCTGCCGTCGATCTTGGCGACGTCTGTGAGGCCAATGGCGTGGCCTGATTTCATCTTGGAGTTGCACATTTTGTTTAGGACGTGGGAGAGTGGACTGGGAGATGGAGGAGGATTGAAGAGGATGATCAAGTTGGAGTTGAGATGAAAGTTAGGAGGGGGGTTGGGGGTGTATAAATA